GCGACGTGCCACCGTGCACGCTGGTTTGGCCGTGCCAGCGAAGAAGAAGTGGTCTTGGTGGACCCGCCGGGTGTGGGCGACGGCGAGCAAGATGCCACGAGGCTGGCACAGGTGGTGCGGATGCTCCGTGACTTTGGCTACGTGAACCTCTTTGTCGTGGTCCTTAATGCGGAGCAGCCGCGCATCGGCAGTATCCTGGAGAATCTGCTCCGTCTTATGGAAGAGTGCTTCGGGAAGCGCTTCTGGCGGCATGTCGTCTTGGCCTTCACGCGCTACTACACGGATCCCCGGTCCGCCCGCCGCCGCGGCAACAAGACACGGGACATGATGCGGGAGGAGCCTGTTATTGCATGTTCCGCCTGGCGAATTGGTCCTTGAGCCCCGTTGCTTGCCCGCTTGACACTGCCAGGAGTTCAGCACGCTGCTGGCGGCCCAGTTCCCCCACTCCCTGGAGGAGCGCCTCCCGCGCGGCGAGCCCTTCCCCAGCAGCTCGGATCTTTTGTTAATGCACATTGATATACGCAATCTACGCAGCGACAGCGTTGAGCGAAAGAGTCTTGTCGCAGCCTTGCCGTTTGAGGCTACTTCGTCGACTCGGAGGCCGCGGTGAACCCCGAGCTGCCTGAAGCCGAAAGGACCCCCGGACGGGTTGAAAACATCAAGGGAACAAACTCTGCGACCCCTCAGCTGTAAAGCATCCTAAATCGTAAAAGGACTGTCGCATTCCTCGAGCTGGAGCGGCTCTCTGTTCTGGCCCGATCCAGCGCGAAGCTGCCCACGTGCCTTGCTGACTCGTTGGCTCGACATGGCACTTGCATGGCCAAGAAACGCGGCTTCAGGGTTTGGGGTCTGCGCTCGGAATCTCCTTTGCATCGATGATGCCATGTTTTCTGCACTGTCTTCACGAGAAACGAGTGCTCCGTAGTGATGTGGCGTGGGGCAGCTGCAGTTCCTATTGAATATTGGGCACCTCGGAACATTGAGCCGAGATCTACGGGGCAATAGACTCATGGCGCGGAACTGCTCTTCCAATCTTGCTCAGGCATTCTGGCCGCGACAGCAGTGCGCCGCCCAGCAGCTTCCGAAGCTCGTCCCCTACGCGGGACACGCTGCTCACAGCGTATGCTGTCTTGTCCAAGCCATGGGAGGCACTTGTGACACCCATTTCCCCGTAGCTTCCCTGATATCTCAGGTCAAGGCTACTACTTGTAGTGGAGCCCCGAAAATTAGTCGAACATCCGCGCTGCTCTGGCTCACTTCCAAGTCTCGTCGTCCTCCAGCCGTGCACTTGAAACTGTACATCATGTGGGCACCAGACAACCAATAGTTGCTTTGGCGAAGTGAAACGTATTTGTTTACCAGAATAAAACCCTAGGATCAGGCCCTGATTTGGAGCAACGTCAAAGCTGTTATCCTTGAGCCTTGAAGGCTTTTCGCAAGGCTTTTTCTCACACCCCCAGCGTCACAGTGAGGAGCCAGACTCCGCCTCCGAGATGGACGTCCCCGACGATGCCTTCACGCAGCCTCTGTGCATTCAATGGCTATGACTACTTGATTGTGGAAATACTATTGGTAGAAATGATGAGAAATGACGATCATGTTGGGGGTGACGGCGCTGATCGTGATGACTATGGCGACTATGGTGATGACTGTGATGACGATGATTTTGATGTGGTGGCATGATGCAGATGCTGAAGCTGATGCTGCCGATGGTGATGAGGCTGACGAGTCTGCCATGCTGACCATGCTGGTGAAGCTTACGAGGTGGTGTTGGTGGTGATGTTGATGGTGATGATGATTCCGAATAAGTGAGCATGATGATTACGACTTATTGAAGTTTTGTTCTTAGTGAGTAACTCTTTGCCATCTAGGCTAGTCCCACCAGGGGCGCGCTGTCATGATAACACGCTTCCATGTTATCTCTCATAAGTTCTGGATGTATGATTGGTGCAAGTTGCGGAGACAAGCAGACCCATTGTAAACAGCTCGATGAGGCAGCATACGTGAGAGTTGCTACAAGGTTTTGCATGCAGAAGCGGCCCACGAGACATTCAATCTTACGTGAAAGGCCTCGCCGCGCATGTGATGAACCCTGAACCCCAAATCCTGAACACATGAGGCCGCAGACTCTGTTGAGGGTGGCATGGATTTGCACGGTTTTCCTGCGTTCTGTTTAAGGGCTGGCAGACCTAAGTCGTGACAGCAATGCTGGCAAGACAGAGCTTCGGTCTTCGACTACCATGTATCTGGAGGCGCTGAACTCTTCTCAAGCCAAAGAAGAAGCGTGAAAGCATTGAATTGGAGCTAAGAAGCTCGAAGCCCCAAAGTCTAAACCAAGCCTGTAGTGCCAACGTCTGCCGAATCACCAAGCCCAGGTTGTCTGTCGGCTCCTGGGTCGTGGTCCACGACCTCCTTGCGACTCCTTCCCTGAACGGTGCGGGGCCAAGTCTAAGGCAGTGTGTTTCTCCTCGTGAGTTACTATACAGCTAGTACGCTCTGCCCAAGATGTGCTCTGCTCTTTTCGGCCCTTCCTTGCAGATCCGTCCGAGAATGGAGCCCAAGGATGCACAACCCAACTCCTAAGCGAATGGGCGTGGGTTTCTGCTGCAGGTGCGCATGGTGTGGTGGACGAGTTCCAAGCGGAGAAGGGAAGGTACGTCGTCGAGTTTGCGAACGGAAGCCGGAAGCTCATCCACGGGAAGAACTTGAAGCCCAGCCAGGACCCATGCCAGTGCTAGTCCAAGCTGAACCCGGGCTGCTTGCCCCAACCACCTGTGACAGGAGTTCGAATCCAAGAAGTCGGATCCTCTGAAGACAGGGGAATCAGGGGACCTGGCCAAAATCAGTGGCCTCACCAATGCCACAGCCCTGAACGGCCGCGTCTGCAGAGTGCAGGCGCCAAAAGGCGCCGATCGGTACGACGTGAAGCTTCCAGACGGAACAGTGAAAGCCATCAAGGGCTCCAACTTGTGCCACAGCTGCATTCCAGAAACATCAGCAGAGCTGCATTAGCCCCGTGAACTTCAGTGTTGATTCGACGATTCTATTGTGTGTCGTACGTTCTGTGGCTTGTGTGTGTGGTTAGGTCTGTGCTCCCGTCTCCTGGCACAGCCGTGACCTCCTCTAACCTCGTCGAGGGAGCGATGGTGCAGCGCGGCCCAAGTTGGATCTGGGAGGACCAGGCAAGCGGAGGGATCGGGTGGATCCGAAACATTCAAAGCACGATTTCACAAAAGAATGTCCAAGGCTCGGTGAAACTTTGTCGCTGTTTATGTCGATGACGAGGTTTGGCAGTCTAGCAAAGTACTTGGTTAAGCCAGAAGGCTCTCATGCGGAGGGAAGTCCATTCGGGGCAGGATTCCTTAGATCATGTTTTATCCAGCCATGTGTAGATGGGATATCTGCAAGCCAACGTTGTGCAGGATGGCGGCAAGCATTGCTTGGGTCGTGTCCTCCACTTCAACACGGAGACAGGCTGGGCCACAGTACAGTGGAGCAATGGGATGAGAAACTGCTACCGGATTGGCATGAACAGCAAGAACGACCTGGAGCATGCAGACCCCTTCAAGCACGAGGAGTCCTATCTGGAGGCTCTGAAGAAAGGCAAGGAAGCCATCAAGAGGTGCCACCTCCAACGTAGTTTCGCCTATCCCTGCGGCGTGAAGCACTCGCATGTTGATTTCTTCGATATCAGAGACGAGGTTTGCGAGGCTTTCGGTGGCCACAAGCATGGCCAAAGAGTTCAAGCGGGAGGCATGCAGGCGGTGATGATCGGCGTCGCGCTGTTGGACGACGATCTAGATTTGTTTTCGCCCTTCTATCATGTAGACGGCAGAGACGGTGCGTCCGTCTTCGCAGATCAGGAGCTTTTCAAGAAATTGACGGTCATCGGACGGCAGAAGGTCAGGGAGGCAAAGCCCGGGCGTGTCTTTGCCGACAACCGAGAGCTGCTTGAGATTGCCAAGGAGGTCACCCCCACCTTCCAGTATGTCATGGCGCCGAACTCTTTGATGCATGGACAGTTGGAGCGGTATGACATCCGAGATGAGATCTGCTTGAGGGTTGGGGGCTTCAAGCATGGCCAGGTTGTGAAGGAAGGGGACACGAAATCCGTTGTCATCGGCGTGCGGCTCGTGAATGGTGTTCCGACTCTGTTCTTTCACGTGGATGGACAGCCTGGTGCAGGGAGGTTCACTGACCTCGAGAAGAAGAACTTCACGGTTGTTGGACCCTCAAGTGTTGCACGTGCAGAGAAGGTCGTTGAATCAATGTCACACCTGTTGTACATGTTTCACTCGAGATCCTTTTGAGATGCCTGTTGCTGCCGAGGTTGGGTCCCGCGCGGTGGAAGAGGCGCCCGACGACTTCTTTCAAACTCCGGCACCGTCTGCAGAGCTTCGGGACCTGGCCACAACATTGCAGTGTACCTTCGGCTATCCTTGCGGAACCAGGCTCCCGCATTTTGCAAAATTTGACATCCGGGATCACGTCTGCGAAGCCGTCGGAGGGTTCAGGCATGGCCAGAAGGTGAGGGATCATCGCGGCAACTGTGCCGTGGTGGCAGGGGTCAGGCTGCATGATGATGTGCCCACTCTGTTCTTCCACTTGGATGGGTCGCCGGGAGCTGGCAAATACGCGAGGTATCACCTTGTTCGGCACAAGTTCAATGTGATCGGTTCAGCAGCCTTGCAGGAGGTATCTGCTTCAGATCCTCTGTTCCGGCATGCTGGTAAATCCGAAAAGAATTTCATGAAAAAGATGATGGACGAGTTCCTCTCGGCTTTTGCAAGTCACGCTGGTCAGTCTACGCGTGAGTTCGACCCGGATTTCGAGTATGACTACACCTTCCGCTACCTTCAGAAGTCCTTGGATCCCGCGTATTTCGACATCAGGGACGAGGTGTGTGAAGGGGTGGGCGGCTTCAAGCACGGTGACGTCGTCTATCTCGTTGGTATGGACCGACAAGCTGTGGTCATCGGAGTGCGTCCCGACCGGCGCGGCACGCCTCATCTCTGGATGCATGTGGAGGGAGCGCCGGGCGCTGGAATTTTCCAGGAGCAGGATTTCATTCGGCGGACGTGTTCCGTTGTCGGCAGGCAAGAGGTCAAAGAGTTTGAGGATCCCGAGCCGCGAGCCTTTAGCTCTGAGTTCGTGCAGGGCATCCAGCCGACGTTTCGCTACCCGCAAGGTGTCAAAGGGCGCACCAAGCTTGAATTCTTTGACGTGCGTGACGAGGTTTGCTTGCATGTGAGTGGCTGTCGGCATGGAGAGAAGGTCAAGTTTGGAGAAGTAAAGGCTGTTGCAATTGGAGTGAAGCTGGAGGGCATAGTTCCGACCATGTTCTTCCATGTGCTGAAGCCCGTCGCTGCGCCTGGCGCAGGAGTGTTTGAAAATCTCGACCTCATGAGGCCACACATAAAGAGCCTTGGGATCGATACTGTTGAGGAAGTCACAGAGGAGAGGTTCCGGCAGGGCTGGGCCCCACCCAAACCGTGCAGGGCGTCCTCTTCGGCCTCGTCCAGCGAGTCTGATTCTGAGTCCGACGCCTCCTCGCAGAAATCAGAATCTTCCTTCCAGGATCCCATCCGGCATAGGGCTCAAGTCCATTCAGAAGAGGAGATGTTGGGAGATGCCGTGTTGCTGCGGCTGTCCAGCTGCTCGGCAGCCATCAAGCAAGTGCTCCTGAACTCGGCAGAGTTGGCCGAGTGCCGGCGTGACGTGGTCGATGCGAACTGCGAGGTCACCCCCGAATGGGCGAATGGAGCCGTCTTGCTCGCCCCATTGACGGAGGACTTCTGAAGAGAGAGAGAGGGAGAGATAGAGAGCGCGCGAGTGCGAGCGAGAGCGAGAGTGAGAGAGAGAGAGAGAGAGAGTGAGAAAGAGATTGCATAGAGAGAGCAACCACCGCCATTGTCTTTGGTAGCTGGGAGGTAGGAGGAGAAGACACACCGAAAGATGCACCTTCGACCGGTCGCAAACCACTACAACAGCAATCATCTAACGGAAACGAGATGCGGCGTCCCAATTGGTACGATGGGCTACGGTTCAGCATCGCAGCCAGTCAAAGGGTTTCGAGGCTGCTCAAGACGAGCGTCACGCATCTAGCCCTCATCAAAACCTCCAACTGCACACAAATTGGTTATTGCAACTCGAGCCATGCCAGGAGAAGGCCTCGGAAGCACAGCTGCAGCTTCGCCCATACCACGTTGTGGCTTTCAAGGGGGACGAGGGCCGGGTGAAGGCCGCTTTGAGCACACTGCCATGCAGACAGCGGCCCCGGATTCGCGAGAGATCCGACCTTGGGCAGCTTGCCTTACAAGCTTTGAGGGACCGAGCAGCAAATGCCAGGGTTCGCAGAGTTACGCAATCTTGAGGTTGTCTTTGTTTCTTGTCTTCTGCTGTTTGACTTGCTGCCCGATTGGTCAGTTGATCACGGTGGAGCCCGAGCGGTGGGCTCATAACCAAGTAGTGATGCTGATTCCTTGACTCTGAGGTGGGGGCTCGGGCTTATTCGGGAGGGTAGACTGTTTGCGGGCACGAGCAGCGAGAAGAATTGTAGCTGTCATTGAAATTAAGGTGCTCGGCAGCCGCCGATGTGCCAGATCAGGAGCAAGATCTCGAGGAAGTGGATTCGGAAGCCGAGAGTGTCGCACAAGACCTGGCCCCTTCGACAGATGATTCGTCAGAAGCTCCCTTCGCGATTTCGATTTCCCGCTTAGCTGATGCCTCCGGTAAGGCCATCTTTTCTGTATTCTAATTCTAACTTTCTGTCCTCCCAGGAAGTGACAGTCGTCCGCACCTTCGTGGCCGTTTTCCCTC